GAGTCTCGATCACACGAGCAATTATTTTATGGGAAAAGCTAGCCAAGCGGAGGAAAGTAATAAAAACAGGGGAAAGATGTCGGCCTTCCACTTGGGTTTTGGTCTGGCGGCAAAACTTTTGTCAGCTGCTTGTAATTTAAATGTGCAAAGTTACACAAAGTCTTGGGCATTCGAGTGGAAACGGAGCAGCTTCAATGCGCATGCGCAGAAGGGTTAAAAGGGGAGATGAAGGTTGGGCAAGCGCACGAAAGTTTGGGGGGCACTGTACAGCTAGGGGCAAGTGAGTAGTGTCATTATTATTAGGGATCATTTAATTGAAGACCACAGAGAAGTTTAGTACTAATCTCTTCACAGGTATTTGGAGTTAAATAGCGAGGTCTTCTTGCTTATTAACGCCGCCCAAAAATCACTTGATGACACCTACTATTAGTTTCACTACGGGTTTACCTCGGCTTGTGTGAGTCGCAGAATATCTTATTACGCCAACCCCTTGCGACTTCTCCCCATCTTTTTCGCTGCTCATAAAGCCGTGACATGGAGTCATGCTCCCCATACCTTTCGAGTTACCTCAGATCGAGGGAAATTGCTTCCCGTGGGCGTGTGGGAATGGAATGGAATGGCTTTTGCTTTAGCTTTGGCTTTGGCTTCTCAGTCCTCTTGATTCTGCCTTGGAATTGTCGCAGCTAATTTTATGCTGCATGGCTACTGGCTAAAGGGGAATATTCGAAGCGGGTGTTGGGTTCACTGCGCACAAATTGGGTCACACACACCGTGACTTCACATGCAACTCGGATCCCAACTTCGAACTGCGGCTGCCAACTGCGAGCTGTAATTAAAAATCTATCTTTAAGCCATCGTGAAACCGCAAATAATGTATGGTATTTTATATTAATTAGTGGATCTTGAAAATCAATCAGGGAGCTTGCATAATTTACGGCAATCTTCAATCCATTTAAGGCTGCCTTTCGCTTTCTGCCACACAATTTTTACGTTTTTGCTTTGTTCCGCTAATGAAAATGTCGCCAAACTGTAGCAACAACACTCAATGATTGCCATATTTAGGCCCTGTTTGGTGTTCAATAATCGTTGAACAAAACACGAATATCAATGAACCAGTTGCCTATGCGATTTTGGCCAAACAAAAACGCCCCCAAACCGGGTGTGAGCTCACTTCATACACTTCTTGCAAACTCGCGACATGATCTCATTCCGATTGCAGTCCGTAAAACTTCCAAGAATGTTATATTTTATTTTATGATATGTGAAGTCTTTTCATATCCATTTTAACACTTATTTGGCTCTGCTCACCGCAGAGCGATAAGAACGACTATGAGTATATGTTAATTAAGTTTGTGAAAGCGTTTCAAACATAACAATCGTGCTCGGCTCGAATTACTCATACGTGCGGAGAATCTCAAGTTGAAAGATCGGCTTTCAATGGCTTCTAAAGTGCGTCGCAGCTGGAGGTGAACCCATTAGGCGTTTTTGTCTTTATAGTATAGCGGTATTGTTAAAGTTCTGCTATAAGAAAATAAAAGCCTCTGATCTCTGCTAGCTCCTAAGCCGAGTGCTTACTACTGTTTTAAAAATGACTAGCTGGAATTCTTCATGATCGTTAATGCGTAAACTGTCTAACCTCAAAGTCTCAAATCCTTGCCTTACCGCCTTACCCCCCTATGCACAGTTTGACACTCACTCTTGACTTGTGACATTTGTGATTTATGCGATTTTGATTTAAGCACTTCAATCTCGAGTGTGGCTTGTGTTTTTGCATCGCCCCCTCGGAGACTGGAATAAATCATGTGGGGAGTGGGCTGCACGGGGGGATTGGGATTTGTCGCCGCATACAGATACTCGTATCTACATACGTGTATATACATATATCTCCTGCTCTCCCGACATTTGTCTCACGTGCGTAGACAGCATACATATATCAATCACTTGGGGAACTCGTATGTGTCACACTTTCTGAGCTGAGCAATGCGAACAGCATAAGATATTCACAAAGGCAAAAACAGAAATAATATTACAATATTAACAGTTTGGAAAGCACTGCAGCGCTTGACAGACGCCCCCTGCCCAACTCCTTGGGTTTTTTAACCCTCTTTTAGGGGCCTGCATCCTGTGCTTTTGTTAAATTTTGTTTTCATTTTGTCGCTTTCAGGGTGTGAGAAATACGAGAAATGCGAGAAATACGAGGGCGTTGAATGCAAAATGCACATTTTTAATGACGCCCGCCTGCACTTGAGCAGCAACAATATAAACAACAAGAAAGCCTTGTTGACTCTGGCACCGTCGCAGGATTTCTTGCACATATGGAGGTGTCCAAAAGAGGAACCGCTGCCCTTCGCCTTATGCAAATCGCTCGTTCAATGCAGGAGATGACTTTGCCAGGGCCTGCCCCTTCCACTCGTTGCAAGTCCCTCTTCACATGCCACTACCCCATTAACCTCGAAATGATGACACTCGACAGTGAGAGAAAATGCTTAGCTTAATGTCCATTCTGAAGAAGGAAAATCTAGAACCGACCACTAAGTTGCACTATTACGTTTTGGGTAGTAACAATCTTGTTAGCCTTTAAAGATAAAGTTCAGATATAACAGACATAACTTGGACATAACTTTAATTCTCCGTGCAGTTCGTGCCCCTCTTCAGGTGGCCATATGGCTGAAGTTCCTCCTTCTTGTCCCCCCACTTTGGTTCCATTTCTGTTCGGTGTTCAGTGTTCGGTGTTCTATATGTTCTTTTCTGCTCTGAGCTCGTAACACTTTTCCACATCTTGCGGCTCGTGTACTCGTACTGGCTGAATGTAATCCGCTTAAGTTCCTCGGAATCGGCACATAAACATCATCATCGGCGTTATGATTGTCATTATTGTTCGGCGGGAAGCGGAATGATCATTTGTCAGAAGCGAGTTTCTTGTTCTGCACAAGTTCTACATTCGTCATGCTTTCCACTTTATTACATTTAACTTGGGCATTTTCCGGTTTGTGTAGTTGTCTGCTTGTGCTTAATACTTCTCCGGCAGCCTCCGCACAAATGGTTTCCTAATTAGATCTCATAAAACAAGCCAAACTGAAACCAAAGCCAATTGCCAAAGTGGAAATCTTCACAAATTAACTGCTGGGAAAAACTCAGGGAGACAGGGAGAGACTTCCATATTCCTTATTAGATGAGTCACATGTCCGCTGACTTCTTTTGTTTACCCAACCACAGACAGCTTATCCAACTAACTATCTATTTTCGGGGCGGGTGGAGTGGGTTGGGTTGCCCCTCAGCCGTTTACCAGTTTTCCCATTTCCCATTTAGGCAAACATTAAAAGGCCAACCGCCCTTAGCAAATGAAGCCAACTAAGCGTGTGACGTGACCGACTCTATGAGCAATATCTGCAACGGTCCCATAGCTCCAGTTTCCATTTAATTCCCCGCCACGCCGCCAAATGAACGTCTAGGGTTACAACAAAATTTATTAATTTTGCTCAATTGCCACATTCGTTTTGTTTGTCTGCAAAGAGGGAGTTACAGTAGGAAACTGCATTTGCATATTTTGTTTTAGACCATAGTTCAGTTCACACGATACAGATACCAACAGATGCAGATACAAATGAATACTAGAGCGATGGATGTCAAAATCCATTGGATATGCACCCAAATGACTGACAATGCAATTCATTAGCGGTGCAGTCAGCTGGCTGGAAACTCGGCTTGAATGGCACACAACGCGAATTTGAATAATCGAATCGGTTAACCTTCAATCGATTGCAGAAGTGAGAGGCGGTGACCCCACAGTGCTTGCCAAACTGTATAGCTTTTTTTTTTTTGATGCATTTACATTTCCCATCCTTTCTCGGCTCATTATTTCCTTCTATCAAGTGGGTGCCCCTCCACTGCCTGCCTTTTTCCAACTTCCTTTGGCTCATTATTTCCAGCCATCAGCTGCAGTTGCAATTGGCAGCAGGCAGACCATTAAATCAAGGCACGAACTATCGATGAACCCCAGCCCGCTCCCTTTAACCCCTTGGGTACGTGCCACATTTGGCTGCGGGCCAGCGCCCCAAAGTGCAACAAAAGAATCCCAGAAACGGAAAAACTGTTTGCAAATAAAAGAAAACTTTTTAATATGCTTGCTTGTTTAGGAGTCATCGGGCTGAGAGGCAAGGTGGTTGGGGTCAGAAAGGGGTTTGACCAGACAAAAGCTTGGAGTGGCGCCAGGAATTGTAAGGGAAATGGGAGCAGGAGCCCCGTTCATGTCAAATGAAAATGTTGGCTTAATGTTATCAAAAATTCAAAGCCATTGGAAGTGGAAGTTTCCCTCTCTGCAAATCCATCACGTAATCCACGACCACGCCTCTTCCACCCACTGCCACATTTGTTTGGTGCCTTTGCAAATAGTTTGTGCCAACAAAATTGCAAAGCCATCGACAGTCTCTGCACCACTCCGGCGAACCAACTGCACCACCCTGCACCACCCTGCGCCACTCTGCCATTATCCAATCCATCCACATGGCTCGAGGCCGGCCCATTTGCATATGAAGCTGGGGCGCGGGCTGCGGGCTGCGAGCGGGTTTCACTGACGATAATTGCATGAAATTATAATGCAGCAGTGCTGCAGAGCCTCTAATTCCGCCCGTCGGCGTGTGGGAGGCTCCACTGTGGCACCCACTCACACATAATCAGCCCCCGTAGTGTGCAGAGTGCCACACATGGATCTCTGACACACTATCCCGCTGAACAATCAAGCCAGTTTCGTACTCGCAGAGAATGGCTAGGGAAACTTATATTTATTTCCGCCAAGGATTAGGCGGCATTGTCTGCAATGCTTGGATTTATGGCATTTTTGAAAGGTAGTTTCTTGGGACTGCATCTGAAATCCAATTGGTGCATATATATTTCCACATGAGATATACACTAAAATTTAATAGCAAAGCAATATTTTTCTGACTCTTTACGGCCCAGTAATTTCGAATTCAACTTATAATCGGTTTCCTTTCTACTTACAGAACCACCATCGCGGCAGTAATACGAGTGAGGAGCGCGTGCCCCAGCCACACTCGCCCCACGACAGCCACGCCCATCCGCACAACGGTGGGCTGCAGCACTCGGGATCGCGGGCAACACTGCGCCACTCGATGAACCACTCGAGCAGCTCCACAGTCTCGGGCTCCGCCTGCAGCTCCACGCCCGCCTCCCCGCAACTGAGCGGGGTGGTCAGCGCCTCCGGATGCCAGCTGCTGTCCAACGGACACCACTACCAATCTCAGTCGTCGGTGAGCTCCAACTCGTCGATCGTTTCGGCCATTCCCGCCTCGCAGAGATTGCTGGAGGAGGCGCTGGCCAAACCGGCCCCGTACTCCATGATCCTGCTGCCCCAGCACGGTGGTTACTGGATGGATGGCACCGAGCACGAGTGCGGCTACGATGCGAGGGGAAATCCTCTGCTCCCACAAACCACCTGGATGGCAAAGTTCGAGACGGACGATACGGCCAAGTGCTACAGGAGATTCTATGCCGCCAGGGAGCACTCGAATTTGATCGGACTGGATGAGCAGTTGGGACCGATATTGCTTTCTATTAAAACGGAGAATGTAGCCAACCAGGAGCACATGCGCATCCTGATGAGGTTGAGAACTGGCACGATGCACGAGCTTCTACCAGTTTCGTGCCTATTGCCACAGCCCAGCCCGGCGAAAATGGCGCATACACTGAACGAAAACATCACGGTCGAGCATTTCATGCCGATTTTGTGCCCCAAGGCCTCGCAACTCATCAGTGTATATGACGAGCATGTTCTCGTTTCGCACTTCAAGTTTGGAGTGCTCTACCAAAGATATGGACAGACCACCGAGGAGGAACTCTTCGGCAACCAGCAGACATCACCAGCTTTCGACGAGTTCTTGGATGTCCTCGGTCAAAGGATACGCCTGAAGGATCACAAGGGGTACAGGGGTGGCCTAGACATTCAGAATGGTCACACGGGCGACACAGCTGTCTACGAGGTCTTCAAGGAGCGAGAGATCATGTTCCATGTGTCCACCCTATTGCCACACACCGAAGGCGATCCACAGCAGCTCCAGAGGAAGCGACACATTGGCAATGACATTGTGGCCATCGTTTTCCAGGAGACCAACACTCCCTTCTCACCTGACATGATCGCCAGTCACTTTTTGCACGCCTTCATCGTGGTCCAGCCCATTGAGCCGAACACCCCACACACCCGGTACAAGGTCAGTGTTACCGCCAGGGATGATGTTCCCTTCTTCGGTCCCACTCTGCCGAATCCAGCAGTTTTCCGCAAGGGTCAGGAGTTCAAGGAGTTCATATTGACCAAGCTGATCAATGCCGAGAACGCGTGCTACAAAGCTGAGAAGTTTGCAAAGTTGGAACAGCGCACCCGCACCTCTCTGCTGCAGAATTTATGCGAGGAACTGCGGGAGAAGACTCGCGACTTTCTGGGAACCGATCTGTCCCAGACGTCGGCTGGAAGTCCCACACCCGAGACCCCGAAGGCAGAAAGTGGTAGTGGCGGCAATGCCGGCTCCCGCTTTATCGATACGGTGAGGAAGGCTTTAATCATGAGGGTGCGCTCGCAGAGCGTGGACACCGGAAATGGTCATGGACCTGGACAAACGGACAAGTTCAGCGTGAGCACCAAGCTGGGCACATTGAATTCCAAGAAGGAGGCCCATCCCGAAATGCAGACACCCAATCTGAATGTAAGTCTTGAGCACAATGGTTGGAAAACGCAAGCTAATTTCTTTCTTTCCTCACAGACCTGCAGTCGCACGGCCTCCAAGTCCTCCTCCAAGTCCAAGTCCTCGAACGAGTCCACTTCCTCCTCCCCGGACATTACCTCTCGCCAGGCGAACAACAACAATACCAATTCCAACGGTGGACTCCTGCCCCAAAATGGATCCAGCGGCGGCGTGGTAGCAGCGGCTGTGAGTGCCGCCCAGAACGGAGTGGTCGCAGTGGCAACCATGTCGGAAACGAGCGATGATTCCAGCCTGAATAGCGTGGATCTCGATCCAATGATGGTGCACTTAGACGGCGGAGCCACCTACATTGACAGTGATACTGGGCTAGAAAGCATGAGTTCGGCAGAGGCCACCACCAAGGCGTGCTCCCTGTGCCTGGATGGAGTCCAGTCCACCATAATGGGCAGTTCCCCCAGCAACGAGACGATCGTGAAGATCGAGAACTTGCGCCAGGAGGTCACACGATTGAAGTGCGACAAGCTGGATCTACTCAGACAGAATGTGGTAGGTACTCAAACGAAAAGTAAACTAATTAATGAAGAAAAGAAGTCCCATCACGAGTTATACTAATTGCATATTTCATTTTTGCAGACCTGTCAGCGCGACATCAAGCGGCTGCGGGAGCGGGAACTTTCCCTTCAAGGCGACCTATCGGCGGCAGGCAGGGAGATCCTGCGCCTGCGGGATCTCCTCAAGGAATACATGCCCGATACAGCTTCAGCACCACTCTCCATATCGCCCATCTAAGCGTGAAACGCAACCCTTTGATAACCGAATGGAAGAGGCAGGAGGGCAGGAAGGCAGGAAAAGGAGTAACCACTGTGCCGTGTATAACACTTTGGAACAAGGGATCGCAGAGTTTTGGAGAGTTGGACAGTTGGCGTAGCCCTCAAAACCCCACAAACCCCAAACAACAAAAACAAATACAAAAACAAAAACTGTATTATATTTAGTGAACGTAGCTGTAGATGTAGATCCCCGCAGATCTGACATGCAGCAGCAGGCATGCCCATGGACAAGTTATTACATAAACGACATACAAACAGTTACAAACTAAACTAAACAAAGCGATAAAGCAGCAAATGAAAACAGAACACAAAACTCAAAAAGTACACCAAATATATAATATAAGTCTTTAAGCATATTTAACGCAAGAATAACACCCCTAACCTAACGTAAATCATAAACCCTAAACCAATTCCAGAACCCATCCCAACTTTAACCTAAGTAGAAAGCGATCAATCACAAAGCATCACACAGAGATCGATATCGATATATTATGATAATAATCACAAATGAAACAAAAACCAATGTAGCAAAGTTATGAGGTTTACAAAACCGATACTCGTTCGTTAATCGCACCCGTAAACTGTTACTGTTGCCGTGACTGCTACTGTGACTCTCGCTTCACATTTCACATCCCCACAATGGAAGAAACCTAAATTATGATCGATCGATATATGATTTTACATTTAAACACTTTACAAAAATCACTCCGCGAAATAAACAAGAAGGAGAGGGAACTCTTAACCTTAAGTTTAAGTTGCTTTAAATACGTTTACCTAAACTGTATGTTAATTAATTATGACTTAAGTTTAACCAAACGCAGAAACCGCGCATCAATTAATTGATGACTCACGAAAAGAATTTGCATGCCGCATTCAATGTATATATGTGTAGGAGCGATGTATAATTCTCGATCCACATACGGATACGGATCTGTCGAAATTATGAAAATTATGATCATTTTATTTTCTAATCGATTACTGATATACCAATAACCGACAAATGAAAGCCACGCAAATTGAAACCAAGCAAGTAGTATTTGGGAAATGAATTCCAAAAGCAAAAGTTACACGCAAGCATGAACTTTGTCTTTGAAATCTATCCGATAAGTACCGCGAATAATTGTTTTTGTTGAGATGCATTATCATTTTTATTGTGTAAAGTATAAAAAACCAACAAATATATGCAAAATATATGGAATATATAAAAAGATATCGTGTTATAAATGGCTATCGAATGGACAAAATGATTATTGGTATGATCTTTACCTTTGGGGGTTTCGCCTTCATCTGTCTTACTAAGGATTTAGAAATTAATTTATGTCGACATTTTGATAAAAACAGCCCTTTCTTTTTGGCTTATATTCCCTGTGCAATGAAAAGTTGTTCCATAAATTTGTTCTACTTTTGCTCGTCTTGTGCCACCTGATGGACTTTTTTGATACTTATGATTCGTGAATAACGAAGCACATAAATATGCCAGTCATTTTGGCATGGCGTAGGAACACTTTTTAATCACTTAGACGTTTTCTAGGGATGTGCGTGTCTTATGGGGGCGGTCAGTACTTATTGGTCGACCGGCTACATTTTGTTAGCTGATCCATTAGCTGAAAACCCCTAATAACAATCGCGATGCGGCCAATTAAGCGACCATTGTAAAGATTGTTAAACGATGTACTATATTATTTCACAGACGAGCGAGTCACCGATTTAGCTATAAAAACCAGAGTCCCATCAGCACAGACAAGTTCAGTTCAGACACACCGCCCCAACATCATGCAGTCCACTCCAATCACTCTGGTGGCAATCGTCCTCCTCGGCGCCGCATTGGTGCGAGCCTTTGACGAGAAGGCAGCCCTGGCCAAGCTGATGGAAACAGCCGAGGTATGCATTCCGGAGGTGGGTGCCACCGACGCCGATCTGCAGGAGATGATCAAGAAGCAGCCCGCCAGCACTTATGCCGGCAAGTGCCTGCGCGCCTGCGTGATGAAGAGCTTCGGGGTGCTGGGCGCCAACGGCAAACTGGACACGGAGGCAGGTCGCGAGAAGGCCAAGCAGTACACCGGCAACGATCCAGCCAAGCTAAAGATTGCCCTGGAGATCGGGGACACCTGTAGCGTCATCACTGTGCCGGATGATCACTGCGAGGCCGCCGAAGCCTACGGCGCCTGCTTCAAGGGCGAGGCCAAGAAACACGGACTTTTGTAACCAAAAACGGACCCACCAACTGGACACGCCTGGAATCCCAAGTCTGTATCTTTAAGTTTTGGTTAATCAAAGTCGAGTAAAATAAATGCATTGAAAAAGGAATTTGGAACTCTGCGATTTCCATATCAAACATTTCTGAGTGCGAAGGCGGGTTAATAGAAGCTAAATGCAAAAAAATACATTTTGAATTAATGTTAGCTATTTTGAAAAGTAACAGTTTTATGATACCTGGTCACACTATTTCGCACTCACTTAACAGAGCCTCTGTTAGTGAAGCCAGCGGGTTCGTGTCACTGCTACCGCTCAGCATATTTCCGAACCGAGGTTAGTTTATCTGATGTTGGTATTTATCCACACTAACAGGTATTTTTTAGTGAATCGAGGTGCTGCAAAATTGTTATTACTGCCCCAACATCTCGCGTCGCCAAAAGTCGGTGGAACTCGTTCGCGTGAGGAGCTCAGAGCTCCGTTGGCGGCAATTCGAAAACATAAACTCCACGCCAGTACGGTTCGTTCAAGTCGCCGCTGCAAACGCACAAACACCTCAAACGGCAAACGCACGTAAATTACGAGTAATCAACTAGATAATAAAAATGTGTAAACAGCTGTGTGTGGCTCGTTAAAATATATTGTTTATAATCTTAATCGGGATGCTAGAAGCCTGAGGCTGCTAAAAATATTTACCGTGGGTGTTTGTGTTTTTTTCGCACAGACCCCGCATTTTTGCCGAAAGGGGCGTGGGAATTTCAGCGTGCGTGTATTGGTGTTTTGTGTATAACATGGATATTCAAGAATTTCGCATATGAATCCTTTTTACAAAAAATTATAGTGTTGCCTTACTGCACTTTTCAAATTCGAGAAGAGTTTAAAGTAAAGTGAAGAAAAAGTGGACGGAGCAAGGATAACGGATTAGTCATCGCTGGCAGCGACGTCGACTGCGCAGTCGACAGCGCATCCTGGCCGCTCGTGTGTGTGTGTGAGTTCGTGCGTGTGTGTCTCTCTATTTTTGAATTTCCGCCGGTTTCTGCACAACAACAACAACCAAAGCCACGGAGGGGAGAATAAAACAACAACTTGTTTGTTTGATCCCTGAAAGAGAGCAAGGCACAGAGCAGGATGGAACGGAAATTTACGCGCGGCTTAAATAAGCTCGGCTCTGCGGTGCAAATGAGAGAGAATGTCTCTCAGCTGGTGCGGGAGAGCGCGGTTTTGGTAAGTACGGCAATTCCCTTATTACACCTGCTTAATGCCATCTCGCTTACTCTCCTAGACTATTTTTGACTTTCAAAAGTGCAGTTGTTTTTCGTACATGTGTACATGTGTATGCTAGTGTGGGTGTGTCTCCAGTAATGCATGTCACCTTTTGTTTTGTTTACCTCCCTATTTACGTATGTATGTATTTACATGCATATATGCATATGTATATACGCAAGCATTATAAATAAAAGAAAAATTATATAGAATTTGTCGGAATGCAAATGGCTTTGTGTGTTGGCTGTATGCGACAGAATTTCCCACTTAGAAACGCACGTTTCCCTACATTGCAACACATTCATGAACATACAGCTGTGGTCAAAATGCTAGTATCACTTTACACAAAATATTATGTTTATTGACAAATGGAAGGTAGGCAAACCCACGTTTTAAAATGTATTATAGAATATGTTGGCCTACAAAATATTGTGTAGGTTAATCCCTTAGCTTAATGTTTAATTTTGCAGAGCCTTCAAAAAAGCCGAAACTCTTGCTTTTGTATTTCAAGTATCTTCGTTTTGTTAGATTATTTTAACCACTTATTTTCAATGGATTTATTTATTTTTCCGACAACACTTGCAGACGTGGTCATGTTTTCATATCGTTTGGCACATGTCCAAATGCTTTGAGTTATAATAATGTTTTCTTTTCACTTAGCACACATCATCGAGATCATAATGTTTTATAAGGCAAAGAATTTCGATCCACCCATCAGACGTTGCATAAGAACAGTCAACATTGGAAATGTGCTAAGGAAAGGGAAAACTTGTTCTTTATCTCATCGTAATTCTATTCATAGTTGCTGGAGAAGAGAGACTCAAAAGACTAGATTTCTGTTTCCGAAGATTGTAGAAGAGAGGCCCCAAGAGCGAAGAATCCGTCAAGGCCGTGAGATTTGTAAATTCCGCCGCAGCTTCTGTTTTTGTTTGTTTATATTCATGTTGTACGATAATGATGTCCGCTGTAGACCGAGCACAGTGATAATTCCCTAAGGAAGCTGTGACTTAGGTGTGCTGAAAACTGAACTCTGTAAAAGATCTGTTAAGATTTAATGTTATATGGTAATTAGTGTAAAAATATGAAATGGAAAATGTTTAGATCAATTCCAATTTGTATAGTTATCATCCATGCATTTATTATTTTATTAACCAGAAAAAAACTGCCTGTATGCAATAGCCTATATTCGAGTTACGTTAAACGTTTAATTTATCGAGGTTCTTCTGTAATTTCGGACCTAACTAGGACCAGCTTGAGTATTGGGTGTGACTTCATTTTGTGGGGGCTTCACCCACGTGTTGCGCCTCAACAGCTATACGTTCCTACCCATTCCACCTTATGATAGTACCCACTAATTGCATTATTACGGTCCCAAACGAAAATCATATTAGGGCGCCATTAGCCGCGCTTCCAATGTCAATTAGAGTGTGTGTGGGTGTGTGGTTCTCATTCTCCTCCGCGGGACTCCTAATTCAATTAGTGCGTAGAGTGAGAGTCGAAGCCAAAATGATAAGCAATTGCCAACTTACAGCTGCAATCAACCGGCCGACAGGCAATCAAGCCATAATAAGCAACTGTCGACAGATAGATAGCTCCACGCCAATAAAAAGAAGAGTGCCTCGGCGGTTGAGTGCGCTGCAATGAGTCGTACTCCTCGTTTTCCACCTGTCATGGGGTTTTGCACATCCCAATTGGCAGACTTAATGGAAAACGGTCTCCCCCTGCCAACGTATTAATTAAATATTTCGTTGGCAAGACAAACTAATGGCGTTTTTTGTAGTTCACCGGGTCAAAAAAAATTGAGTCCCATTTCCGAAAACATCATTCCATTATTTAACCATAAGTTACACTGAGTTTGGCTTAATTTTTATGGCTCGCTTTCGGTTTACTTATGGAATTTTGTTTTGTGTTTCCGCCTTGTTTGTTTAAATACTTGTTAAATTATTGCTGCGCACATGTGCCGCATTTTGTTACCCGATATCAGGGTAAATATGAAGTGTGTGGTTTCGGTTAAAAAAAATGGGGGGTCTCAGATAATTGAAAAGGTCTGGATAAGCTGGATAAGCTGTCATCAGCGAATTGCGACTTTAAAGTGTACTTTGTATTTCAACTATACATGTTGCAGTAAATTGTCAGTTAGCTTAAGCTTAAGATTCAAATAAAAATCATTAGAAAGCTTTAAGAAAACCTGGCAACCTTGATATTTAATGTTTATATCCGGCTTTTGATTATAACTGAAATGCTTGCGTTCTCCAGCACACTTTTCGCACAATATGATCCTACAAAAAATCCCGGATGATTTATGGGAATGAATTAGCCTTTTTTATGTTCCATTTCGGGAATATCAAGGCACCATTTACCTTTTTCGTCATGACCTCATCTCCAAACTACGCCAAGCACCACTATATAAAACAAAAAAGTAATCTAAAGAGGTTCCTTATAAGTCGAAGAATACGAACTCAAATCAAAACATGCTCAACCATACGTTAGTTGGAATGTAGGAGAATCTACAGTTCAAATCCATTGATAATCCTCCATGTAATTAATTTACCCACTTAGTATAATACCATTGTTTAATTGCTTGTTTATTAAGATCGTTTAATTGCTTAAACCTTCTGGGAACTTCCACTTTTTAGCGATTTTTATTGCTTTTGAAAACTGCACGTTCAAAGTGTCCAAAAAGGGTAAGAGGGAAATTTGTAGTCGGAAGTGGAGTAGGTAAAATGGTCATGGCTCAAGTGCTCGTACTTTCCTACTGGCATTACCATTACGTTTTTCGAAGGTGGGGTATGCTAGGTACTTAACTTGTTTAATTAATCGTTATACCGTAGGACAAAAAGACTGAAAAACTAAGCACAAAAAAACAGTGTTTTTTGTTTTATTATTTATTAATATATTTCTTAAACTATGCTTCATAATTTTAATGTAATGTGCTTTGTAAAAATCTTTAATGTTATATGTATGTGGTTGATTACTTTTGATAAATGCTTCAAAACATATACGTACATTATATACATACATTATAAATGTTTTTTCCAGGTCGTGGCAAATTCGTATCCAACATTTGTATATTATATATTTTGTTGTGCTTTTATTGTTAGTAGCTTGCTCTTTTTGCGCATCTCCGCTTTATTGTTTATTTTATGTATTCCGTGATTCTATTCTGAGTGTCGGTCACCGTTTTTTTCCCATCCCCCTACGGAAATATTGTTTCGCAACTTTTATTTTTTGTTTGAGCTTTTCCCCGAGTTGACGTGAGTTGTCTGCGATTTAATGACCGCCACTCTGCTCCGATTCAGTTTGTTTAGCGGGCGTGCTCACCGTATCATGGTCATCCAACCATTCCCCATCCGATCAACCTTTGGCTATTAATAACAGAGCTTGTAATACTGACCCAAACATTTCCCCCTTCTTTTTCTCTATCATTTTAGATGAACTGCACTGGCCGCTATCAGCGTAGCCTCTCCATTGCGGTAAAAATATATTACACTGAAAATATAGAGCGAGATTTTATAGGCATTTGCTAACGGGAAGCCTTTCTTTTGGTTTTATAATGCGAGTGTATAATAAACTCTGGGTAGCTCGCATATATCCAATCCAGATATTATACATGGCGTTTGCCCCTCTAAAAATATGTCTAGGTTATTATTCACAAGTATTGAAGTAAGTTTGGATTGTACATATTTCTCTGTGCATTGTTAATATCTGGAGCAATGTCAGTTGATTTACATATATGCGTAGCTCTGCGCCGCCATCAACAATAACAATAATCAGTGACCTCAATGTGTCCTTATTCGTTTTCCTTTTTTCCGAGCCTGGTGGGGACAAACTTTTATCGATTCCTCGATCTG